TGCACTTGTTTCTACTAGCCTTCTTGTTACTAGTAGTAAGGCACTTGCTACTAGTAGCGATGCACTTGTTTCTACTAGCCTTCTTGTTACTAGTAGTAAGAATGCTCCTAGTAGCGATGCCAGGAGCCCCTAGTAGCTTTCTGGCTCCTAGCAGTAAGGCCAGGAGCCCCTAGTAGCTTCTTGTTACTGGTAGCAATGGCCTCCACCCCAATAGCCAATTGTTTCTATCATAACCTCTCATTCGAAGTTGGCTGTTGCTGCAGGCCTGCTGCACCTGGAGCTGAAGCAGGCTGGCAGCTTGCCTTTCTTTGTCCTTAAAGTCTATGTCAACAGAAGTGAACCTTAGACACGCCTCCTGTTTTTGATTCTGGAGGTCAAGAAGGAGGAATAGCAGCTGTTTCTCGGGCAATCCGAACAAAACAGTGCTGAACTTGGAGAACGACATCAAACATGCTGAAACTGCAGTCCTCAAATTGTACCTGCTTTGTCCATGGAGCAGGGCTAGCCAATCAATGAGCAAGTTGGACTTAGGCCGGGAGGGCTTGTGATGATCCCGACAGCTTTCGGACTTGTAGTGAGCCCAGATCTTGATTTGAGGGGAATGATAGAACTCTGCAATTCAGCTGGCAGCATGTTGCAGACGTTTTTCTTGAGAGTGACATTCTGGCAACAAACATTGTGACAACAAACATGAGATGACCGCATCGCACGCCTTCCATTCCATGGAGAGAGATAGGCAGAATGAGACAGAATTAATACAGTCAATAGCTCTCAATGTCTCAATGGACAACCGCCTACAATATTTCATGTACAATGCCTTTCGCGCCCAGATCATCCTCCGGAGAGGTGGCGCAGGATCTTCGGTCGTCGCTTCAGATTGAACTGTTGACAATGTCTTTCCTTGATGATATGCCTTTCGGCATTTTCTGCAAAGGCCAGTCCAGAAGAGTTCCTTGCAGGCTTGGATTGGGGTCTCTTGGTGCGCTCTTGGGCTCTCCAATGCTTTGTTTTTTTTGAACTTCTTCTTCGCCTCCATCACAGGTGTTGCGTCATTTAGTCCTGGACTCCGCTTCCATCCCGCCCGACCTTCTGAGGCGATTTAGCAACCCATTGTCATGTTGTGTTTATGCCCGCCCATACTTTTAAGTACTGCAAGTGCTACTTAATTAAGTAAGGGAGTACACACGCTACTAGCAATAAGAAGCTCCTAGATATGGATGCAGGATAGCTTACGCTTCTTCAAGGAAGCTCGGCGGGAGGAGCTTCCTTGAAGAAGCGTTCGCACGAATCATTTGGTTCCTAGATTCTTCGATGATGTTGCTATTTTGTTCGTTCATGTTCGTTCCCCTTTTCTGGGTTTAATTTCAGTTTCGCTTTGCAGGATGGAGACATGGAACGCATGCAGCCCCTAGTGCAGATTCCCCAGTTCTCCAAGTTGTCAAACTCTGTCGAATCACCAAAACAGGAAGGTACAAGAAGTAAGGCGGAGAGTCAGAGTTCTCAATTGCATAGGCTGTATGCAGCAACACCCTGAATTTATGAGGTGTTATGTCGACTTGTGTGGACTGTACTTTAAGTGCATTCGCAACAACTTATGGTCATCTAGCTATGCCCTCCACCTCGCAGAGATGGCCTCCAACCTAGCAGCGATGGCCTCCAACCTAGTAGCGATGGCCTCCAACCTAGAAAAAAGATGAAGGAACTATATTTGAGGGTTGTTTGTGATTTCGATAGATTTAGATGCTTAGACGCTGCTGCGATGGCCCAAGCTTTGCCACGACAGATACATGCTCAACATGGAGGGAAAACAAAAGTATTTAAACACAACATGTCATAGCCACCTTCCTTGTCAATCGACAATTTGAACCCATTGGGAGAGAGGTACGGGTCGTAGGTAAGACACTGAGTCACACTATGCGAGGTCTGAGGTATGGCATGGTCTAGTCAGCCAAGAGCAAAAAACACAAGCTGCGTAAAGAAGCTGCCTTGATGTGATATCATGAGCATTCTGGTCAGCTGCATCCGATGTCTTCCGGTTCTGCTTTCAGAGTGCACGCCTTGGAGCATGGGACTTCCTTGCCCGAGGCTTCGCAAGCACTGCTCTTGCTGAAACGAGTGCAGCGAAATGCTGAAGCCATATTGAGGGCACGTCAATGGTCAATCTTGTCGTTGGTCGAATTATGTTGCTGCAAAGCTGCACCAACGAAAACATCTGCACATGTTGCAGGTTGGTGCATCCCTGACGGTGACGGCAAAACTGCTCAACGAATTGCCATAAGATTAAGAACTCCAAAGGGCAAGGGTCATGCTTTGTTGGAATTTGAGGACGTTTTTGGAACCATGCTACACGAGTTGGCACATATAGTTCATGCCAAACATACACCCGCCTTTTATGAGTTAATGGATCAACTGCGCGAGCAGTGGGAACATCTGGAGGCATCTGGTCGAGTTCTTGATGACCTTGGTTTCCCAACTATTGGGGGTCAACGTGTGGATTACACTTCTCACAATCCATCTACCATGGATGCACGAGCTTTGGCCGTTGCAGCTGCCCAGAGGCGACAAGACTTAGGAAGACTCATGTCATCAGCAAAGCTGGGCTATGGAAATGAGCCT